GGATTTATAGTGGCAAGCTTACACCGCGAAAGTGGGAGGATGATATCAGATTATATTGATGGTATTCTTACGGATTAAGACCCTTCCCATCCTATCCAACACCTCCCAAGTGGTAACTCGTCAGCGCACGTGTAAAAAACAAAACAATTTTAGGAATTTGCAAAGCTATAGGATAACATAAAGATTCGATTTAATCCGCAAAGATATTGCTTTTATTTCACGTTTTATGACGACGTTTTTGTAACTCGCCACGCGCCGAGAAGCTCATCCTACGCCAGGAGAGAATGGTTGGTTCATTGACCGCACGACGTGGAACATATTTTTTTGAAAACGCATATCGCGATTTTTGTCAGATAACTTATGAAACGAAGCGATCGGTGACTCGAGTTACAAAAGTGAAAACCCATAATGGTGAAGTTTTCGCTTCCCAAGTGGTAACCCGTAACCTGACTCCTCAGGGGGAGGGGGGAGTCATAGCTCTATATATTCATATTCATTATATACAGTATATAAAGAAATCACTTTGAAAATAAATTGGTCAGAAATAAGACGAATATATATGAATACGCCCTCCCCCTGGCCCCTATACAATTAATCGTCCAGCTACAGCCGTTGTTTGCATTCAGATCCTCGCCGTGAACAGCAGAGTCGCAAAGCCTTGCATGGGATCACATATTATCACAACCCTAGATTTCCTTGTTTTTTAGCCAGATTAAGACTATAAAACTAGTTTTAAGTTCGAAGTAAAGCGTATACCCATGGTTAAGGACTAACCTTTATTTCAACGCGGAACTACAACAGGTCTTGCATTGAGCGAAAAAAAAATTAATGTAACACTAATCATCGTGTTTTCAAACTAATACTGATAAAAAAAAGGTCATATTGTTTTTGTCACGTATCGTCAACTATATTGACCTGACTAGATTGTTCTAAAATCACTCGAAGTCGGGATATACATAATAGCTGTAAGTAATATGGCTTATTTAAATTTCAAATGGCACTCATTTTTTTTTTCGGGACACGCGGCTTGTGCAAAGCAACCGGGTGTCGCTGACACATTATTACCACGACGACTAAATTAAAACTATGAATAGGATACATCAAAATGGTTTTTTTTTAGCATGTCGCATTCTTTATTTTCAAAGTGATTTATAGTCTTGTTGGTTCGTGCCCTCGGGTGAAAAAAAACATGGCGGTTACGCTGATTTTGGTAGGACGGAATCGTCCGGAATCGAAACTCTTTATCTTACCCCATCATCACACGTGGAACTCCCATTCGACCTGGAAGACGGTAAGTCAAACGTCTACTTCCTTCAACAGTTCGCTAATTTTCTTCGTGTGTTCCAAGCTGTTCGCTGACTTCGCTCAACTGATTCTTTGCTTATGTTGCATCTGGACAAAGCAGCAGTGTTGCTTCGCTCTTCAGCCTAAACGTGCGAATGAATGATCCATGCAGATGTTTCCGATATAAATATATAGTTTTATCGCATTTGTGACCGATGACAGTGAACGCTATCTTGCAACTTCATCGCCAGCTGTCTGCATTATCGCGAGTTCCTTTCGAGAACGAGCCTTGTCGCTATCGTAGCGATAAAGCTTGAAGCTCGAGAAATGATATTCGTATAATACGAGGGCATTTTTTGAAACGAGTTTCTCCAATTCATTGTATTATATCCTGGCCAAAAACCAGGCGAAACTATAGCTTTTAAAGCCACGATTTACGGTGTTGTTGCCACGATCTTAAGTGGAATCTCTGTGTCGTCAATTCATTTGAGATAAAGCCAACCACCGCTTGTTTGAATCTCGGTAGAAATCGCACTAGATTGACCTAAATCGGTTCCAAATTGTGGGATACGCCATACTGTTTTCGTTTGAACATTCGGAGGTCACACCTGGGTCTTGGGCGCCCGTATTGAGGAGGCCCGGGGTGGATATACCCGACTGCTTTTATTGGAAAGCGATTTTTTTACTCTATGTCAATATGAATATATGAATACTTAAACACAACGGGGTGCACAGGTAAAAAAACGTATTCTTTTCGTGTGCAAATTTTCCGCAAAGTTATAGCTGACCTAATTAGGCAAGTCTTTATCGCCTTTCTCACGCTTATATAATGCATCTATTATAACCCCAAGGCAAAAGAAATAAATTTATGTTTTAGATTACTTAATGATTCACTTTACCCAACTTCTGTCAAATTATAGCACTAATATGGGGCATCTTTTTATATGAATATAGGCATCAGGTTTTAGCGAGGGACACACCTGCTTTCAGGGATTGGAACTGGGGGTTCAACGTGTGTAGCCAGGGCGATCCTAGGCTGGTTTTGCTAATTTTCGAGCGAAGATCTTTCAAGCAAGACCCAGCAAGTTTTTGAAAAGCGTTTATCGCGTACCCGTTTAAGACAATAGCTTGTGTGAAGCCGGCGTCTCTTGCAAAACAATTCATGCAATCATGCTAATTTGCCAACAGACTTGGATTGTCTTTTGCCTTGAGCCATTAGACTATTCTATAGAGTGAACTCAACTGGGAGTCTTCTCATGAGGCCTGGGGGGTTTTAACAAAAAGCATTAATCGATCGAATGCTTTAATTAATACGCTTTCCTGTTTGCTGGCTGATGCGTTTCAGAATCAATTTCATAGTTTACGTATTATTTACCTATAAAAATTGCCAAAATGAAGATAAAATCTCAGCGGTTCAAGAAAGCGCAAACTTATCGTTTTGGTGAGCATAGGATTGGATTCGAGCATTTACCAACCCGAGAAAAATCGGTGTTTTCACACAAACTGCTTTCGTTTAATCAATCAATTGGCTGCGAGCTCATCGCGGTATCTAGACTGCTACAGTATTTTTTATATATAGGCTTTTCCCACCTACCTGTGCATCGGAAAAGATTTCGATGAAATGAGAAGTTACGGTGTACAAATCGTACAAATTTTCCTCGGTTTTGACAAAGAATCAAGTCTAGCAGGACCCAAAAATATCGCAGACAGTCAAGTCAGAATCTCTGTCTTTTGTCAGTTCCCCCTGTGTCGTTCCGCACCTATATACAAGGTGCCAAAACCTGTAAACTGCAGGTGCTCTGTTTGACTGAGTTGTTTGTCTTCAAAGCCAATTGAAATACAATGTGTTTTTTTTTCTTTTGATGATAATTTTTCAAGTGCTGACGAATGTACAGCAGCAATCACAACTCACATCTTGTTTGCTGCTGGCATTTTGATTGATTGAATGTAAACAAGTCTAATTAATTTACGCACGTATTGCTTGATTCTGGATATCTGACATAAGGTCGTATACTACAAAGAAAATTAAACTTGCTTTCTTCGAGCAAGGCTTTTCGTTTTCACACGGGAGAAGACGTTGTTCACAAGGGACCGTTGTTAGTAAATTGCCCAAATCTTTCTTCGAGCCAGATTTTAATCACACTTTCTAATTGCTTTCCCTTAATTAATGCTTTGTGCATTCATATGGGATCTCTTAATTCCTGTCTCTGAGGTGTCTGAAATCTATACCACATCTGTGTAAACCACATCAGTATTCTCTAGGAAATTCTTTAGTTTTATCTATAAGTATTATCCCTCCTTGATGAATGCAGTACAGCGATGCATATATAGGTCATCAAAAGCAACAAAAATCTCGACCCACGGTGAGCTCTTTATCGCACGATACTTCAAATGAAATGGACGTTGGAGGTTATGACGTAAACGGCAGTTACGTTAAAGAGTGTTATTGCATGCAGAACAGAATTCCTGCTGTTGGAAAGACATCCTATACGAACACAAGCGTAAAATTACATGTTAATGAAGGTAACTTGTTCATTAAACTTCCACTCCAGATCATGCATTTGTTTCAAAAATGATGGATTCTGTGAAGTGCGAAAGGTCACGTTCTCATTTCAGTCGGACTGGCTTTGAGAATTGAAAAGCACGCAAAGCTACTTGCTGAATTGACGCAAGTTGTCCCCAGACGCTCGCAAACGTAATCAAATGTTTCTTCGTAAACACAACAGATCAGCTGCTAACTTCACAATCACACCCACAGATCAACACTTCACATATAATATCCCGTAGCGAGATCTAAAGTAGAAAGACTCCGAAGAACATTAACATCACGTAGGGGAAGCTTAATATTGATTTATAGTTATCTTGATTTCCATCCTAATTCTCAAATATTTCGTAATAAGACGAGATAAGAAACGTGTCTCGCTAAATATATTTCAAAAATGGTTGAGAAAAAAATGACTTTCATGTTATAAAAAGCCAGACGGCAAACGTAGGGAAAGTCGAAAATATGCTCCCCTACGATGCTATCTTGTAATTTTTCAATTAGAATGTTTGTAATTGCACATTAATTTATACATCGCAATTAACATAAAACTCGTAGACTAACATAGACCCTGACAGGAATACAACTGGCCTTGTAACACAGTTATTAAAGTTAACATGACGTCGGTATAAATTAAATTCTGATATTGATTAAATTAAAACAGCATAATGATGTGCATATCAGATTTAAATCCACAACATGTTGCTAGGTTCAACATGGCCTTCTTATTAATATTTGTGCGTTCATTGTATGTTGTTTCAAGTTAAAGTTTAGCAGTATGTGTGTGCATTGCGATCTATATACGGTGACTGATCATTTTTCATGAGAGTTAAATGCAAAAATTTAAGTATTGATATCAGTCAGGAGGCAGGTCACAATGTGCAAAATTATTAAGTCTATTCTTATTCTTGTTATTGTGAAATGTATAATGTCAAAACTGGGACCGCAGTCACCGCAGTAATTGGCGCAAGCTGTTGTGATTACCCTGCCAGTTGTGCATAAATAAAATATGGCAAAGTTTGTAAATTAAATGAAATTAAAATCATTTGCGAAACCGTTCATTTTCAAAATGGTACATTTGAAAACTCTTTTCATGAAGTATCCTCTCTGCAGCTGACACATAATTATTGAGGATTCAAAAGAGTTTTGTTATTTTTCAAAAGTTAATATTTTTAAAAAAATTTTTCCCAGTTTTGACGTGTTATTTTTCACGATTTTACACTGCTGGATTTGTTTCCTAGAAAAACATTGAAATCGTTGCTTCGTAGCTTCATCTTTGCTCGATCCTAAGGTATATTTTTGGTGGACATGACAACAGCTATCAGGGAGTTGAGTTCGCTGGAAGAGTGGAAATCTGAATGGGATATCCTGTCCGGTGAAATCAAATCATTCAAAGTAAGCTTCAGTTTATAATATCTGGGTTTTATCGATGTAGTTGTTGTAAAGGTTTCTTTGTTTTCGAAGTGTATCTGATCGATTTAAATGGAATTCTTTGATGTTTTTTGAATATTCAATATTGCTTCATTGTTTATTCTTTGTGTTGTGAAATATATTTCAAATATTTGATTGCTGTGTACTGTATAGTCAATTGTAAAGTGTGTACAATGCATCCCTGTAACCACAATGTGTACGTCAATCAGCAGTAGTTGAGTTCCTCTTCATATAAGCATTGAATTCCTCTTCATATAAGCATTCTATACCATATCAAGCCATTCTTGTAGTTCCACAGGAAACACTGCAAGGTTTTAAGGACCTTAATCCATGTAAATATAGTAATCTCCGGCTGGTTGCATAAAACTCCTAACTACATTTTGCATAGTTAAATCCTAGTTAACTCAGGAATACACAACTCTGAGTGGCCAATTCTCTCCTTAACTACAGTTTTTGTTAACTAGCCTTTTATGCAACCTCCCCAGATGTGTTTCCTGTAGATTGAACTTAATCTATTCTTAAACAATTATATTTTCTTCAGCAAACAAAATTGGCTGAGTATAATGATATTATGGCACAATGGCAGAATGCTCAAGCAAATTGCTCAAAAGTAATTACGTTGCAAAAGAAGAAAGTGGAAGCCTTTAAAGATTCATTGAAAAGGTTGGTTGAGTAGCTCCAATAAAGAAAACATGAAAATATACTTATTTACTTGATAGCTCTATCAATTCTGAATGGCTCTTCTCAGAGTTCAAGTAAGAATCATATGTCATCCAGGTGATCCAGCCATTCAATGGAGAAATGGATATCACCTGGTTGTATCTGATCTTCTAGTTCTATTTCTATTGTCATATTTTTTCCAAGGGTGTCAAAATTTTGCAATGAAGATGAAACGATTCAAGGACTTTATAAGAATATCGAGGAGAATGAAAAGCAGATTCAGGAGATGAGTAAAAATCTTCCTGTGAACATAGGGTATGAAGTGGTCATATTATTGAAATGATGTAAAACCTTGACAAATATCAAATACAATGGCTAAAGAATGGTTGAACGTTCGCCATTTTAGATTGTTCCTGAGGTGTTGTCTGGGAGATATTGACCTATCATTGTACAAGAGGAAGTAAGGGAACTACGATCAATGTCCAAGACATGTTGTCCAAGTAAACTTGTCTCCCCGTTGCATAAAATAATTTAAATCTGTTTTCAACTTCATTACAGACTCCAGTACAAGAACAAATATGAGAAGTTCAAGATGATTATGACCCTAATATCATTCTTTTTCTCCATTCTAAATTTGCTTGTTTTCAACCACAGGTAATTGTGACAAAAACTCTCAGAACAAAGTTCTGTAACAAATACATATTATGGCCGTATTCATCCCAATATGCGGACTATTCACACTTTCAAAATTCCATTGCTTCACAGATTCACAGATGCTCTCTTCCATGCAGTCCTCCTGTGGTACTACAGTTCACTAACACTGCAGGAGCATATTCTTCTTGTTAATGGTTCGAGGTATTGTTGAAATATGTGGTGAACACAAGATTCTAAAGCATATGTTTAACTCTACCAGTTTAAGAGACAAACCAATATAGAAAAAGTAGAATTAAACTCAAAGTGGACATTCACTTGATACTTTGAAATGTCTTTGAAGAAAAATGTGATATTTTTTTCAGGATAAAAAATTGGTGGATTCTGCACCATTATCTATCGATTCTGCTTTCTGGATTTTTGCTGATATGGTAAAAAACTAAATATTAATTTGAGTTAGGAATGAGTGAATGAGAGTGCTGACTTCAAATGCAGTTCAGTTCATTTTTCATTGAATTTCGTTTAAAATTTATCATTTAGGCCAGACGGTTTGATTTATGAAATGTATAGAAACCAGTTCATATACTTTAGTATTTATTTAAGTAAGTATAATTTCAATCCTCAGCTATATGTTTATATAAACAAATATATGGAATTTATTTCAAGCTTCAAATTTCCGTGGACAAATTGTCCCAACTTGAAGACATGGCTACTCTGACAAAAAATACGAATTTAAACTTAATTTTTTCTTGCGTTTCCACGGGTAGGTTTCGTTCAATTCCTGCAGTACAATTACCAGAAACGAGTCCTTTACAGATTGAGAGCTTTGGGTGCCAGTCGAACGATGGACGTTACTGTTGGTGCGTTTAATTTGAAGCCTTCTCGATAAAGGATAACTCAGAAACGTATTTCTTATATAGAGGGTGTCGACACGAAGCGATCCACTGGACTTGGATTTATTGTTCCGTTTTTATGCGTTGGTTATGTAAGTAAATGAAGAAACGCAAAATGTATACAAGCGCTTCTTAAGTGACGAACCATATTCAAGGTGTTATAATTATGAGCTCTACTTACAACATTACAAATCGCGGCAAAATGCGACAAGATTTCTTTCGAGTAATTTACTGGAAAGAGTATTTTTGAACACACTTACAACCCAGTATAACTAGGTTTTTTTATTTTGTTCTTTTAGTTTCTACAGTTTTATAATGCTTTCATTCTATATCGACTATCACGACACCCCAAGTGCGATTTATGGCAGGTACCTTTTTTACCGCTATACTCTGTTAATAAAAGGTTTTAGTAAAATAAATTGCATGCGATTATAGCTAATATTTTCTACAATTTTTTCAACAGGTGCCATGCTGTGCCGTGCTTTTCCTGGTCCTGGGCGCTGGAAATCTCATAACCTTAATTTATGTCATCAAACAAAAAGCGAAAGTGCATCTAAAATCAACATAATTCACGTAGAATTTATGCAACGGAATTTCAGAAAACATGACGTGAACTAGCTCTTCAGAAAACTTTCAATTTCTTCGCGTCCCAAAATTTTATAAAAAATTTCTATGACCCAACGTAGCGATTCGACGTCAACCTTCTTCAATTGAATAATATATTTTAAATAATATATAAAATCCTTCTTTCAATAGTTTGTAATCATTGACCATGCAGCCATATATGCCTCCCAATATTAATATGTCAACTTGTTAAAAATACTGGTTAGTTACTATAGAATATAAATTACTAATAATGCCACTTTCATTTAAAAAATATTTACGATAACACAATAAATACGTCTTATTTTAACTTAGTGATATATCTATTTTGAAAAAACTTGCAAATAATTTATAAAATTTGTTTCAAATTAGCATAAAAGACTTTGAAATTGCTCGAGATTCTATGAGTAATCTTCGTGCTCAAAAATGAGTTGGGTGTCCGCTCCGGGAAACGACCAACCATCGCCGTGGTCTATGCTGTGTTGCACTCCGAATTGCCCCGACAGCTTTATCGCTTCCGTCATGAGAAGATCGACAGGTCTGTGCAACAAATGCGGTAATCAATACCCAAGTAATCAATACCCAAGTAATACCCAAAGCTCAAAAGAACTGCCAACCATCGACCATTGATCAGCAGAAAAACGGTCATAAAAATAAACCATATTCCGGTACCTACTTCGGTCATACGACCATGGTCGACTGTATCATATTCCGCTATATTCGACCATGGTCGAATTTCATTTTTCTACCTTAGCGCTCATTTTGACCAGTCACATTGATGACGGAGACAGTGATAATGTTTTATAGTACAAAACATGTTCACACAATCCATTTTTGTCAGATTCAATTCACTTCTGACGCATAGAATGTAGTCTGTTATTGATAAAGTAGTATACTGCTTTGGCTTTAGTTGATTTGCTGCCATATACATTGCATATCACCAGACAATAAAATTAACTTCCACAAGCTCTGACAAGATTGGATCGTGTGAAGAGACCTAAGTTCTAAGATGGAATAAATACCTGTCAATAGGATGAATGATGACTGGTATTGCACCAAGACCTGCCGCTGTTGTTATCCACGATTGAGTTCCTAACGGTATTTGCGATGCAAACCTTTTGAGCAAGATCCCCATTACGAAACATATTCTGTTGATGGTAAACCCAGGGATAGCTACAGAATTGCCAGATAAGCGCCTCGATGAAGGCTTCCGTACACGATCGTAATCTCACGTTTTGAGAAAGATCTTCCTTCGCCTGGAGTGAAAATTGGAGGTGATATCTTAAATATTACCAATCTTTCTGGACAAAAGTAGTACTCTACAATAAGCTGTGGTGGTTTGTGTCTGAACTACCTGAGAAAGATATCTCAAACGCGGTGGTCCAATGTAGGTAGTAGTCCACAATAAGCTAGCGTCATGGCTTACTAAATATAGTCTTAATCCAACTAACCTTGTACATTTCCAGACTCTTAGACGAGGCGTCTCCTAACGCGTAACTTGACGCTACAAAATAGCTTGCAAAATACCCAAATCTTGGTATATGAGATTTGAATGCTTCGCCAATCTCGTTTGCGTAACCTGTGTGTAGAAATGAGTGCAAATTCGATGGGTCTTGAAGTCCTTAGCATTACAAGAAACACCGCATAACGAACATATGGCACAGTAAAAGACAAAAGTTGAAATGGAAGTGCGGAAATGAAGTATTTAAAGGTTTATTTTTAATTAACAACCGACCAAAATAACAAAACGTGCTATCTGACAACCAGCTGAGTACACGCAATAGAGAAAACCAAAGTGAATAGCGTTTTACCTAAGTATCTAATCCAAGTATCGCGAAAAAAGTCGATTTTCGCTCCTTTGCCGTCCGCCATCTTGGATTTTCTCTTCGCCATTCAACTTGAATAGCGAATCAGATATCGTCGTGATGGTTGCCAAGTGATAGCCAATCAGAGCTGCTCATATATTGTACTTCTCTGAAAAAAAACCGATATTTTAAAATATGACATAATGTTTTGAACCTTTTTGCAAGACGTTTTTGTTATTTATCTGGGCAATAAACCCTAAAGGAGAAAGGGAGTAGAATCGTAGAAGGGTACGTACCTTGCGCTGCAAAATGCGTCCTTAAAATGATTAAGATTCGAGATTTGATTAAAAAGTCAACGTATTTTAAATGGTTCTAATTGAGTGATATTGAGGTATTTAAGACCCTGAAATGTATCAGTTGTAAGCAAAATAAATAAATACGTGTTCCGTCCAATTCTTTTTCCTTGATATACAAGTATATTACTTTAATAGTCCCGCATAAGTGAAAGACAAAGTCCTCCTATGAACATCTCACCTTAAAAAATGAAAAGGGGTTTTGCTAAACACACAAACTCTACAGGACCTACTCAACCATGGATATCACGAAATCCTCTGGGCACATTTGATATCATTCTTGATGAAAATGTTACCAGACCTGAACCGAAAAGAATGATTTTGCTGAAAAACAAACGAAAGGAGCCGTTGACCGCAGATGAAATTGAAAAAAGGCAGAGAAAAGCAGAAGAGCGAAGACAAGTTTTTTGTTTTCTATCAGTTGGTTTGTGAATTGCACACAGATCAATGATTTTACTCTAGGCTAGAATTGAAGCAAGGCTGAAAAGAATGCAAGAACGAGAAGAAGCGACAAAAAGCCTTGCATGCAAAGTTGATAAATTATTACAACAACAGTTGTTAAGAGCTGGCCAGCATCCAAATTCTGACAATGTCCCAATCATGTCGCATCGAGAGGTCTTGAAAACTGCACGTTGTCAAGGGATTTCAAAAGATGCAGCAACAACTGATCAACATTGACCTTAAAGTTGATAAACAAAATCAGCAAACGTCTCAGATGCCTGAACTGCAAAAGAGTTCAAAGGTGGATCACAGTATGCATGAAGGAACAATTAAGGATCTCAAGGAATCTCAAATATCTGTATCAGATAATTCTACAGCAGAACAAAAGCCTAAAGGAGTTGTGTTTGAAATCCCATCTGATGTGAAGGCTCCAAAGCGTCGTTCAAAGAAGCCGCCCATAGCAAGGTTGCAGAAGAAGGATTCAAGGCAAAGAGCTGACCAAGAAATGGCTGCCATAAAATTGGAGGTGAAGCAGCAAGAGGCAGCAGAACGCAGACAGGTTTAGTATTGAATGGTTTAATGCCACTGCGATTTTTAGATGAGATTGCCAAGGTTTAACAACAATATTTCTTTTGTTATGCAGCAACGGATTGAAAACAAAGTGCGTAAGACTCGTGAAAGTCGAGAAACACTGATGCAACTCCAAACCAAAATGAACATCTTTCGAGAACATCAAGCAGCAATCGAAGGAAAAGCTGATTCTCGTATGATGTTATCTGAACACGAGATATTGCAGATGGCTTTAGCAACATTCACAGCAGGTACAAGGCAGATCTGGAAAGAGCTGAGTTATTCTTTATGGTCTATGATAAGAAGTAAATGTGAGCACAGTTAGCTGTCCTGAATATAGCATAGAGGAACAGTTAGACACATGATAGTGTTTGATTATAAAAACACATGATGACTGTATATAAATGTATACCTTGTATTATAAATACTAGATAGACAAGCTGGGATAGTTTTGTGCCAACTTCCTATGGCTAAAGCTTCAGTGAAAGTTGAAAGCAATAACCTTATTCAATTTTGTGCATACAAAGTGCATCCTATATATATTAAACACTCTGTTATATAGATTATTTTTGTATATATATCCACAATAAAAATCCACTATTTTTACTTGATGATACTCTAAGTCTTATCTCCGCCAACCTGCTGTACAAAATCTGGCATCTTCCTTCTATATTTCAATGTGAATGGACCTGCAGACTGCCAAGGTGTTGAAACCTTCTCATTAGCTTGATTATCAAATACGGTTGATATAACAACCTCTTTGTCAACCCGAGGCCTTTTGACATGTCGTTCTAATTTCTCCCCATAATAGCCGAGTCCAGTCTTACAATGTGGTAATTGGCCTTCGTTAGGAATTGGTTCGGTTATACCAGTTTGAGAACTGCCTAAACTGGATCCTTTCGTCCAACCTTGCTCCTTCATTAATTTGCTACCAAACCCCTTGGTGTGTTTTTCAAAACTACCGATATCCACGTTGTGATCAGCTTCCAAGTCTCTTTGTTCTGCATGTCTAATGTCCATGAGAGCTTTTGCATGTCTGTCACCATAGCCTGTCATGAAAGATATTTATCTTTTATTGATCAAGTGTTACTATAGGAGGAAACCTAAACTAAACTAACTTTATTTATTCTGGATAGCTCTATCAGTTCTAAACTGTTCTTCCTAGAGGCCCAGTAAGGATCATCTCTTATTGATTCAATGTTACTACAAGGAGAAAACCTGGACTAAACTAATTTTTCTCATACTGGTAGCTCTATACATTACCTTCCTTCTCATATATCCCCATATCAATGTCCCAGTCATCAGCTGTTTGCTCATCAAAGTCCCCACTTAAACTGTCCCAATATGCTGCATCAGTATAAAACACCAACCCACTTCCTCCCTTTTCCCATTTCAGTTCAATCTTATTCTCAAACAGCCGCTCCTTTGTCCGACCTTGGGAGTCCACGTCATCATGGAGTGCTTCATGTCGTTCCCAGTCTTCTTCCGGCTCAGAATCTGTGTCCGATAATGGCTCATTTTCATTACATGAAGTACTTTGTTCATCAGCAACATTTTCCAATGATGAAATGCTTATAGTCCTGGTCACATTACTCTGCTTATTCTCAGTGTAAGTTGCATCACTTAGTGATGATTGGTTAATTACTTCATTACTGTTTTCTAACAAAGGTCCTAACGAGTTACATTGATTTAATGCCCTTTTCGAATTAAGAGTTTCTTTTAACTTTCCCTTTTTTTTTCTTGAGAAACGACTTTTATTAGCATTGTTTGCATAATCAAACCTCACATTGCCATAACAACGCTTGCTACGGCCGCTTGGAAAACTAAGCCCCAACTTCTTGATTATGTGCGGCGGCAATTGACATGAACGGATCAAACTCATGAAGCTTGTTAAAGTGGTACCGACATTGCCATTTGGCATGAAAGACGGGGGATGAAACTCAGAGAGTTTGATCAAGTCTTCCATGTCAAATTCAACTTTTTCTCTCTTGTGATTTCTTGTTTCCTTCCTTGTCTTATATATATCACTTGCTAAAAGCATTAAAAAACCCATCAGATTGTGTGATAACATTCCCTCACTAAACAAACTTATATACATTGTTTCAACTTACATCCTTCAGAACTTTTGATAGTTATCCTAGAAATTACAGCCTTTTGGGAGCCTAATTTTCCATGTCTATCTGTCCAATTTTCACCGTCGTAAACCTGAAGTAATTCTCTCAAATTCTCCTCCTTTAATCTAACAACACAACACGTTGTCTTGCCTTTAATTGACTCCAATGTTGCATCTAAAAAGTTGTCACCATTTTCGTTTTTCCGCTTCAAAACCTCGGGTCTATGGCGAAAATGAAAGCAGTCGAACTTCCCCGATTCAATGAACTGCGAAAAAAACGAACGCAGGTCCACAGAGTGAAATTTTGAAGGAATATTTCCGACTAAAACATAAGAAAATTCACTGTTTGCGAAACTCTCATCCGCCATTTTGATTTCGACCGCGTAGAGACTGAGGAAAGCATAAAAAGTAAAGTGAAAAAAGTGAAAATGCAATAATACCTAAAAAAGATTTAAAAGTAGTGATTTGATCAAATTAACTGCTTTATTCTCTACTAATGAGAACAGAAATTTTGATGAAGTTGTACTGGGCAGAGAAAATGCATGAATATAATTTTCACTTAAACCTTTACCGATATATATCCGGGTGATAAAAGTAGTGTTGTCCTGGCATATCTATCTCCCCAAAGACGCTTCTAGCATCTGTATTTCGGGCAGGTAACCGCAGGTTGCAAAATGCGGAGAGCAATTTTCCAATTTCTTGATTTTCTCTGATTTTCTCCCATTTTCTTCCCAAATTTCCACCCGCACGAAATACCCCCTGTGCCCGGAAAAAGGGCTCCAATGTTACAATCTATACGTGTTGTTGACTTTTTGGTCTACTCCATATAAAACCATTGAAATTGGAGCATTTGTGTTTGTATAGAGGTGAAAATGTTCGAGATAGTAGAAAAAATTAAAAGTATACCTGTCCATATGGTAAGATATTTTATTTGTCTAAGCTCAAAAATGTACAAATGTAACAGATGTTTATTTGGAGTTGCATCTAACCGCGATCCGGTGTAAATTATGGACTATATTTGTGTTCATTTGATACTCGTTATAGGACTACAAAGGTCAACAGTTCGCTGAAAAAGTGTTCAATGTGATCTTGATTTTATTTGGTGTAAGTGAATTATATTTGATGATAGATATAGTGTGATCTACCTTCCAATTTTGTCGGATCTAATTCACTTCTGATGGATGTATTATAGTCTGTTGACTTGCAAAGTAACAGCAATCAAATCAACAAAAGCCAATGCAGTACAGCTTTATCAAAACGGATTACATTTCATACGTCAGCAGAGAATTAGATCTGACTAAAATGGATCACATGAACAGGCATTTAACTAGTTTATTTTGTTATAGGCATGTGGATTCGTTGTGGGCTATTATAAGCAACAGTTTCATGTGTCAGTTCTATTTTTACTCAGTGGTTTTTTATTGAGCTGTCTTGTAAGTATACAAGAATTTAAAACCTAGGAAAGTACTTCTTGATTTTGATTGGGGAAAGCTATGTCCACAATTTCATTTCCTTCAGATTGTTCTTCCACCCTGGCCGTGTTATCGAAGACATCCATTGCAGTGGCAGAAACCAAGAGAGAATGCAGAAAAAAGCGAGGCAAAGAAGGATGCCAGAAAAAAGACTAAAGCAAACTAATTTATTCTTGTATACAAGTTCTATAAATAAAAAAATTGAAAATATGCTGTCTTGTTTTTTCTAGTATTTGAAAGTTTTTGAATTTTATAGAACCTATGAATATTTAACTTATAAACTATAATGCTCAGGAATAGAAAAATGTGTAAAAAAAGTCTTTCTTGATTTTTTAATTAACATGAAGTTCTCGGAGGACGCTGACCTGTGGCGTGATCTGCGAACCGTCGCCATGGGAACGCAATTCATAAACAAATTGTACTCGAGCGAATTTGTTGGCAAAGAACATGCCTTTGACTAAAATTCCCAAAAAAAGGGAGCCTTTGTGGAAAGAATGGAACCATAACGCTGATAAACGAGGTGTTAGGAATACGTTTTATGCCGTGAACGGCGATCAGTACACTGGCGAATGGGAAAATAACGAAAAAAACGGTACGTAACTAATATATAAATATATAAATAAAAACTAGGTGTACGATAACCCCCCGGAAAATGTACGAAGTTATTAGTGATGTTGGAATTTGATTTACGTTTGCCGGGGGTGAAAAAGGTTGCACACAGACAAAGCAAACTGAGGCATTTTTCAGGAGAAAATTTGGTCTGATTTGCAGAAGAAATGTTATTGAAATCTTTGTGAATTTCACAGGTAAAGGAACCCAGGTTTGGAAGAAGACCGGGGCAATATATGACGGTGATTGGAAAGACAATCAAAGATGCGGCTTTGGTACGCTGAGCTATCCTAGTAAAGATGTGTTTAGAAAAGTGTACTCAGGTGGATGGAAAAATGATAAAAGACATGTATGTGGTTTTGCTAGACTTTACTTTCCCATCATTCATAGACAGAATGTGTATATGGTTCCACTTAAAATGTACTCCACACTAATAAGTATTTAGTTGTCATAAGCTGATTTAGATGAGGTGGATTTATTTTTAGGGCTATGGTACAAATTTCTACACCAGTACAAAGTACTACGAGGGTGAATGGTATGCAGACAAGCGAAGTGGATGGGGACGAATGTACTACAGTGATGGTTCAGTTTACGAGGGAGAATGGTTTAATGATATGAAAAAATGGACAAGGAATGCTCAGGCTAGGTATAGCTGTCATGAATGACTAGCACTATGTTACTAGCATTAGGGTAACTAATGTTTTAACTGGTTACTTAGTTCCAAGTCTGGTTGTTGATTTTGTTTGTTGTCATTCCACTGCTGAGGACCTATGCAGGATTACAGTGCATGAATTTGTATTTTCTATTTTCCAGCAAATGAAAACAGGTACGAAGGTTTGTGGAAAGATGATAAAAAGCATGGAGAAGGGAAATTTTTTTACCTGAACAAAGGACAGCTTTACACTGGGGTGTGGGTGGATGATATTGCAAAGTGTGGTACGATGGAAGATTTTGGTAGAGAGGGGGCACCAGAACCCACAGTTTATCCCATACCAAAGGTGGGTGTTTTATTAGAGATCTTCTACCCATCACCCTCATTGATGGTATAGTCATATGTCGTATTGGACATGGTGGAACTTATGTGGATAGATTGTGATATTATAGTCTTGTTGAGCCAGTGTGTAATTATTTTCATCTTACATGATCTAGTGTGAGCTTCTTGATCAAAATATGGTTGTGAAAGATGCAGAAGATAAATTTCTTGAGCAATGTGAAAATCAATAACCCACTTCAATTAATGCAAAGAAGAAATGCATTACAAATATATGAACAATGAAATACAAATCTGCTTGCAAAATTGACCTTTCAAAATATGTATATATTCTAAACATTGCACAGAGGTTATTTTTTTCCAAAATATTACAAATATGCATATTAAAAACAATGTACCACAAACGTA